TAAAAAAGCATTGAGGGCTTCCCTGGTGACACAGTGGTTGAGAGTCCACCTGCCGACGCAGGAGACACGGGTTCGTGCCCAGGTCTGGGAAGATCCCACATGCCGCGGAGTGGCTGGGCCCGTGAGCCATGACCACTGAGCCTGTGCGTCCGGAGCCTGTGCTCCGCAACGGGAGGGGCCACAACAGTGAGAGGCCCGCGTACCGCAAAAAACAAAAACAAAAACAAAAAGTATTGAAAAGGTGGGAAGTTTGCCTGGGGAAAACTGAAGTGAAGAGCCTCAATCTCTGTTTTTTTTTAATATTTCATATTTCTTGGTGCTGTTAATTCAGAGCTGTGTAATCACCAGTTGATTCGTTCTTGCTGTCTTATTGCTTTCCTGAGGATTTTATGTCTTTTGTTTCTGTCAGCCTTGCGACTTTTTCTCCAGCACCATCTAAAAATCAGAATGTGGCAGATATCAAACTGGCCCTATATATCTGCTGAAATAATGATGAGTACATATAAGCTACTACAGAATATTAAATCACACAGTTAACCCAGTTGGACTATAGTCAGCTCTGGAGAACTTCCTTGTGTTGAAATGCCATTTAAAGTAGGCCCTCTTGGGCTTCCCTGGTGGCGCAGTGGTTGAGAGTCCGCCTGCCAATGCAGGGGACACGGGTTCGTGCCCCGGTCCGGGAAGATCCCACATGCCGCGGAGTGGCTAGGCCCGTGAGCCATGGCCGCTGAGCCTGCGCGTCCGGAGCCTGTGCTTCGCAACGGGAGAGGCCACAACAGTGAGAGGCCCGCGTACCGCAAAAAAAAAAAAAAAAAAAAAGTTGGCCCTCTTAAAGCCAAAGGAGGGACAGAAAAGAGAAAGAATCCTGGGGAGAGACCAAAAGGGGGAGGAAGGGAGTGCTTTGAGGGGATGGAGTGGTTGCATTTCAACCTCTGGAGGTCTTAGACATGCGTTTGCCAGGGCCACATTGCAGGATGTTTTAAGTCCCTGGTAGTATATGCCGTAGCTGAGCTGTATTGCTGAGTTTTTTCTCTAATCCCTGTACCCAGGTTGTACCATAACTAATGGTGTATTTACTTCTGTACCTTTGTCATTTATTGATAGTTGACCTAGGGAATAGCTATGTGTGGAACATCCTGTACATCCATTGTAAACTGTTATTGATGAAAGATGATTATGATGATCAGTTTCCATCTTAAAAAGATATTCATGACAGATACTGCCTGAATTTTAGAAAAAGTCTCTCCTGAAGAATTGATTTGCCTACTTCTCTTGCAACTTATAGCAGAAGTTTCTTAGTTGTGTGCAGGTCTGGAGGCATGGAACATTCAGAGAAGAACAACTGCTAGAGGCTCTCTTTGACAGGTAGAACTTGGGAGGCTTTGTCATGTACAGTCTACCTTCAGCAGATAAGTTTCTCAGAGACTAGGCATTTCACTTACATAAGAAGAGTTTTAATTATAAAATTATAATTGAAATATCTTAAGTAAAAATACAGTATATTATCCCCCTTACATTCTTGCAGGCATGGAAGATAACTTAAAGTCCACAGATTTATTATGCTTAAGTGAAAATGTTTAGAGAAAAAAAAAATGGCCTCAGATATCTAACATTCTCTTGGGATGTGTTCCTGAAGGAACATTTCAGGGAATGTAATCTAGGATAAATTTTTTTGTTTCATTCCTCTTCCTCCTCTTTCCTCAAGCGCTTCATGTAGTTGAAATCAGATTTAGGTGATTCTATGAAACATGAAAATAAAGGTCAATCATGAAGGGGAAAATTTGTACCTCAAGGCAACCTGATGAGTTAGCTAGTAATAAAGGAGGGACAGTTCTGCCACTTACCCTCAAAGTTTGTCTTGAGATTAGCAGCAGGTATCTGGATCTTTTTGAAGTACCCTGTGGTTGAGCCTTCTCCTTTTCCCAGGTACAACTTTTTAAAGTCCTAGTCTTTTTTCCAGAAGCAGGGCAGTAAGGAAACTTCAACCGTGTTCGTACTGTAGCTATTCAGCCTTTCAAAACTTCTTTCCTCACTCACTTCCATAACCTTCTCCACAAAAATTCATAGCCCCCAACACGGGAAGTATATGCTAAAGGCACATACCTGGGAGTCCTAGATTTTTTTTTTTAACCACTTTATTGAGATATAATTTACATACTATAAAATTCACCCATTGTAAATTTACAGAGTTGTGCATTCATCACCACAATCCATTTTTCAGAAATTTTTTTTACCACCCTTAAAGTTATCTTGAGTCCATGTACACTCAATCCCCATCTCTATTTACAGTCTAGGCAACCAATGATTTGCTTCTTATCTTTATAGTCATCTTTTCTAGAAAACTCGTATAAACAGAATCATACAGCATATAGTCTTTCACGTCGTGCTTTTCTCACTTAGCTTATTAATGCTTGTAAAGTTCATCCATCCATGTTGAGGTGTTTATCAGTATTTCATTCCCGTTTACAGCTGAATAATATTCCAATATATGTACCATATTTTGTTTATCCATTCATCAGTTGATGAATTTTGGGTTTGTTTCCAGTCTTTAGCTATTATAAATAACATGGCTGTGAACATTCATATATTGTCTTTGTGTAGATATTTGTTTTCATTTCTCTCGGGTAGACACCTAGGAGTGGAATTGCTGGGTCATGTGATAAGTCTAAGTTTAACATTTTAAGAAACTGTCAAAGTCTAGATGTAAACTCTTACATTTTTCAGCAAGGGTGCCAAGATAAGTTAATGGGGGAAGCACAGTCTTTTCAAGAAATGGTGCTGGGAAAATGGATAGCTGTATGCAAAGGAGTGAAGTTAAGACCCCTACCTAACACCATATAAAAAATTAACCCAAAATGGATCATATACGTATATGTAAGAGGTAAAACTATAAGACTCTTACAAGAAAACATGGGCATAAATCTTTGTAACCTTAGATTAGTCAGTGGTTTCTTAGATACGACACCGAAAGCACAGATGACCGAAAAAGTACATAAACTGGACTTCATTGAAATTAAAAACTTTTGTGTTCCAAGGACATCATCAAGAAAGTGAATCTGACATTTCAATAATAAAAAAACCAAGTAGCTTAATTTAAAATTGGGTAAATTATTTGAATAAACCTTTCTTTGGGGAAAGAAAAACATAAAAGTGACCTTAGATAAGCACATGAAATAATACATAACATCATTAGTCGTCAGGGAAATGCAAATCAAAACCATGATGAGGTACCACTTCACACCCATATCTAGAATGGCTAAAATAAAAAAAGATAATAGCAGGTGTTGGTGAAGATGTGGAGAAATTGAAGCCCTCAGACATTACTGGTGAGATTATAAACTGGTACAGCCATTTATATACATTTATGGAAAAGTTTGGCAGATCCTCAAAATGTTAAACATAGAATTGCTGTATCACCTAGCAGTTCAACTGCTGAGCATATATACCCAATAGAATTGAAAACGTATGTCCACACAAAAATCTGTACTTGAATGTTCATAGCAGCATTATTTACAAAAGCCAAAAATAATTAGATGTCAACAGTGGTACCTTATAACTTTTGTTTCCTCTTTCTATTTGAAGGGTCTCCAACTGAATTCCTTGAAGAGAAAATGGCCTACCAGGGATATCAGAACAGCCAGAACTGGCCAGAAAATACAAACTTTTGCTTTGAACCCGAGCAAGTGGTGAATCCTATCCAGACTGGTAAGTGCAAGGCTTGCTTGTGACTGCTGAATGTGAACTATGACATAAACATGGAAAAGCCACAATCACCACTGTTTAAGCTGTTTTCCAAAGCAACTGCAAAATTTTATATTCCCACCGGTAAATGAGATAAAACATTTCAGCCTAAATATAGCTTGTAAAGCACAACCAAGGTATGATTATTTCCCCTGAACATTTAGTTGACCCTTTCTCCTCTCTATTTATCCCTTCTTCTGAGGCAGGTACCCCTTTGTTTTCTCCCCTTCAAAACCTGTTTTGAGTAAAAATCTGAAATTCATATTCATTGAGGGCTAAATGATCAATAGTACCTTAGAACCTTAGTTCTTCCAAAAGGAATTATTATAGTACTAATAGCACCGTTTGTCAAATGCCTATTTTGTGCCAGGCACAGTACTAGAGCCTCAATATACATATTATCTGCGTTTCTTAGCTAACTCTGCCAAGTATATATTATCCTCATTTGACAAAAAAAAGAAAACTAAAACTTATACCCAATTTGTATAAAATTCTAACTAATTTATAGAGACAAAAAAAAAAAGCCTATCTGTAGTTGCCTAGAGTTGGAAGTGGTGGGAGGGATGGACTGCAGAAGCACCTCAAAGCAGTAGTCGATACCTCCATGTCAGAGTTAATGAGATTGAGAGCTCAAGTTATTTGTTTCCACTTATATATGGTTTCTTTTTTGCTATCTAACTTAAAAGGTGCCCATAACTGGTTCCAGATGTTCTAGTACTTGATGTTCTGTACTACTCTTCAGTCATTAGCTGTCCCAGATATACGTAATTTTTGAAGAAAGCTTTAATGAGATGTAATTCACATAGCATACAATTCACCCATTTAAAATGTACAATTGAGTGGATTTTAGTATATTTACATATATGTACAGCCATCACCAGAGTCCATTTTACAATATTTTTTGTCACCTCATAAAGAAACTCAGTACTCCTTAGATTTCACCCCCATCTCCTTATCCACCCCAGCCCTAAGCAACCACTAAATCTACTTTCTGTCTCTATAAATTTACCTATTCAGGACATTTCGTATGAATGGAATCATCACGTTAATATGTGGTCTTTTGTGACTGGCTTTTTTCATTTGGCCCAGTGTTTTCAAAGTACATGCATTTTTTGGCATGGATTAGAACTTCATTCTTTAAATAGGCATGTAATATTTTGTATGGATACACTGCATTTTGTTTATTCATCAGTTGATGGACATTTGGGTTGGTCTCCCCCTTTTTTTTTCAAACTATTGTAAATAATGCTTTCTAAAGCATTCGTGTACAAGATTTTGTGTAGATGAAGGAATGTAACCTGGATTGGAATTGCTGATCATATGGTAACTCTGTTTAATCATTTGAGGAATTGCCAAGCTGTTTTCCAAAGCAACTACAACATTTTATATTCCCACCAGTAACGCATGAGGTTTGTAATCACTACATCCTTGACAACACTTGTTTTCCCTTTTTAAACAATTATAACTAACCTAATGGGTGTGAAATGGTATCTTGTGGTGATTTTGATTTGCATTTTCCTAATGGCTGATGATGTTGATTATCTTTTTATCTTTTCATGTGCTTATTGGCTATTTGTATACCTTCCTTAGAGAAATGTGTATTCAGATCCTTTGACCATTTTCTAGTTGGTTGATCTTTTTGCTGTGCTGTAAGAATTCTTTATATATTTCACATACTAGACGCTTATCAGATTTATGATTTGCAAATATTTTCTCCCATTTTGTGGCTTGTCTTCTGATTTTCTTGGTAGTGTCCGTGGAGCACAAGTTTTTAATAATTAATTAATTAAATTTATTTATTGTTGGCTGCGTTGGGTCTTTGTTGCTGCACATGGGCCTTCTCCAGCTGCGGCAAGCGGGGTCTGCTCCTCGCTGCGGTACGCAGGACTCTCATTGCAGTGGCTTCTCCCATTGCAGAGCATGGGCTCCAGGCGCACGGGCCTCAGTAGGTGTGGCACATGGGCTCAGAAGTTGTGGCACATGGGCTCAGCTGCTCCACGGGACGTGGGATCCTCCCGGACCAGGGCTCCAACCCACGTCCCCTGCATCAGCAGGCAGATTCTCAACCACTGTGCCAGCAGGGAAGCCCAGTTTTTAATTTTGATGATGTCCAGTTTATCTAGTTTTTCTTTCGTTGCTCAATCTTTGGTGTCATATCTAAGAATCCATCACCAAATCTGAGGTCATGAAGATTTATCCTTATGTTTTCTTCTAAAAATTTTATATAGTTTTAGCTCTTATATTGAGGTCTTTGATCCACTGTGGGTTAGTTTTTGTGTATGGTGAAAGGTGTAGGGGTCCAGATTCATTGTTCTTCATGTGGATATCCAGTTGTCCCAGCTCCATTTTTTGAAAAGTCTATCCTTTCCCCATTGAATTGTCTTGGCACCCTTGTTGAAAATTTGTTGACCATAGATATACAGTTTTGTTTCTCAGCTCTTAGTTCTGTTCCATTGTTCTGTATGTCTGTCCTTATGCCAGTACTACACTGTCATGGTTACTGTTGCTTTGTGGTAAGTTTTGCAATTGAGTAGTATGAGTCTACCTACTTTGGTCTTTTTTTTTTTTTTGCGGTTCGCGGGCCTCTCACTGTTGTGGCCTCTCACGTGGCGGAGCACAGGCTCTGGACGTGCAGCCTCAGTGGCCATGGCTCAAGGGCCCAGCCGCTCCGTGGCATGTGGGATCTTCCCGGACCTGGGCACGAACCCCTGTCCCCTGCATCGGCAGGCGGACTCTCAACCACTGCGTCACCAGGGAAGCCCTGGTCTTCTTTTTGATGATTATTTTGGCTATTTTGTATCCTTTGCAATTCCATATTAATTTTAGAGTCAGCTTGTGAATTTCTATAACGAAATCAGCTGCGGGACTTCCCTGTGGCACAGTGGTTAAGAATCTGTCTGGCAATTCAGGGGACATGGGTTCGATCCCTGGTCTGTAAAGATCCCACATGCCATGGAGCTACTAAGCCTGTGCACCACAACTACTGAGCCCTTGTGCCACAACTACTGAAGCCCACACACCTAAAGCCTGTGCTCTGCAAAAGAGAAGCCACCGCAATGAGAAGCCTGCGCACCACTGCAAAGAGTAGACCCCGCTTGCCGCAACTAGAGAAAACCCACAGGCGACAACAAAGACCCAGTGCAGCCAAAAATAAATAAATAAATAAATAAATTAATTAATTAATTAAAAGAAAAAGAAATCAGCTGGGATTTTTGATAGGAATTGTGTTAAATCTGTAGATCAATTCGGGGAGTTTTGCCATCTCAACAATATTAAGTCTTCCAATCCTTAAACTTAGAATGTTTTTCCATGTGTTTATATCTTACTTCTTTCAGCAATATTTTTGTAGTTTTCAGAGTGTAAGTTTTATACTCCCTTTTGTAAAATTTATTCCTAATATTTTATTCTTCTTTATTCTTATGAATGGAATTGTTTTCTTCATTTCATTTTCAGATTGTTCTGAATCTGAATTGGTTTTTGTATATTGATCTTGTATCTTCCGACCTTGCTGAACTCATTAATTCTAATAGTTTTTTAGTTGATTCCGTAGGATTTTCTGCATATAAGATCATGTCCTCTACAATAAAGTTTTACTTCTTCCTTTCTAATCAGGCTGCCTTTTATTTCTTGTCCTTGCTTAATTGTCCTGACTAGAACCTTCAGTACAGTGTTAAATAGAAGTGGCAAGAGCAGACTTCCTTGTTTGTTCCTGGTCTTAGTTAGGGAAAGCATCCAGTCTTTTACCATTAAGCATGGTCTTAGCTGTGCGGTTTTTGTTGATGTTGTTTATCAGATTAAGGAAAATGCCTTCTATTCCTAATTTGTTGAGTGTTTGATTTATTGTGAAAGGGTGTTGGGTTTTGCCAAGTGATTTTTCTGCATCTATTGATGATCATGTGGTTTTATTTTTTAAATTCTGTTGTTATGTATGTATTCCATTAATTGATTCTTGGATGTTAAACCAATGTTGCATTCCTGAGATGGATCCCATTTGGTCATGGTATATAATGAGTTTTATATGCTGGCACATATGTAAACATTTGTTGAGGATTTTTGCATCCATGTTCAGAAAAGATACTGGTCAGTAGTTTTCCTTTCTTGAGATGTCTTTGTCTAGTTTTATATTAGTCTCATACAATGAGTTGAGAAGTATCCTCCTCTCTTTAATATTTTTGGAAGTGTTTGTGAAGAATTGATTTTCATTCTTCTTTAAATGTTTGGTAGATTTCATCAGGGAAGCCATCTCAGCCAGGGCGTTTCTTTGTGAGTAGTTTTTAATTACTAATTCAGGGTGATGGCTCCAGTGATCCCCACCTCCTAGTAGTCACACCCTTGTGTAGTCACCTTCCACATTGTACCATGCTTGGGCTATGTGACCAATAGAATAGATGGCAGAAATAATGTTATGCCATTTCTAAGATTAGATTACAAAAGGCACTACAGTTTCTGTCTTGGTCACACTGGGTTTACTCACCCTGGCAATAGCTGCTGCTGTGGAGAGGCACACGTGGGGAGGAACAGAAGCCTCCAGTTAATAGCCATGTGAGTAAGCCATCATCATGTAGGCAGGTTCTCCAGCCCCAGTCAAGTCTCCAAATGATCACAGCCCTGGGCAGTACCTTCACTGCAGCCTTGTGAGAAACTGTAGTGGAGGTGGGGAAGAAATAGATTCTGGGAGACATTTTTTTTTCATTTTATTTATTTATCTTTTGGCTGTGTTGGGTCTTCGTTGCCGCACATGGGCTTTCTCTAGTTGTGGCGAGCGGGGGCTACTCTTCTTTGCGGTGTGCGGACTTCTCATTGTGGTGGCTTCTCTTGTTGCGGAGCTCAGGCTTCAGTAGTTGTGGCATGCGGGCTCAGTAATTGTGGCTCGTGGGCTCTAGAGCACAGGCTCAGCAGTTGTGGCACACGGGCTTAGTTGCTCCGCGGCATGTAGGATCTTCCTGGACTAAGGCTCGAACCTGTGTCCCCTGCATTGGCAGGCAGATTCTTATCCACTGTGCCACCAGGGAAGACCCCTGAGGGACATTTTGAAGGTCAAGTCAGCTGGATTTCCTGATGACTTGGATGTGGTGTATGAAAGAGAGAAACCAAGGATGACTCCAGGGTTTTGGACCAAAAAGATAGAATGCCATCAGAGATGGGAAGACTGTAGGAGGAGTGATTTGGGAAACGGGTTACATTTTGGCTTTATTTTATACATTAAGTGTTGGCAGTTTGATACAGAAGTCAGGAAATAAAGGGAGAGGTTGAAATGACTGGAGATACAAATTTGAGTGTCATCATCTTATAGATGGAATTTTAAACTGTGAGACTGGATGAGATCACTAAGAGAGGGAATGTATGTAGGTAGAGAAAGAAAAGGTCTTCCTCTGTCCCGCAACCACTCAGTTCTTTAGTGCTCAGCTTAAATATTTGTCAAGTGAAGACCTTCCTTGACTTGAACTAAAGTATATCCATCTCCTAAGTGTTTTCAACCCTGATCTTATACGTCTTTGTGTTTTTAGACCACACAGGGTCTGCCATATCATATGCACCGAGTAAAATAGTAATGAATAAATGACAGAACTTTGTAGAAATCTTTGATTTTTACATGTGATTTAGCATTCTTCCCCTCCTAATGTGTGAACCATACAACAGTTATTCTCATTGCTGGTTTAACTGTCCTGTTTTCCTTCAGCGGAAGTGTGAGAGGCAGAGCAAGCAGCAGGTACCCCAAACCAAGTTAAGACTGGGGAGAATGAAGCTTTCTAATATGGCTAGATTCTAGCTCCTCTGCTGTTCTGAAGCAGAAGCACTGGGGCCTCCTCCAGCCCCAGCAGTTTCTCAGTTTCCTTTCTGCTCGTTCATATTCTGCAGTGCTGTGCTCTCCCCTAATCCTGAAATCCCTTACTAGAAGAGGGAGGGGCAGCTGCCTCAGAGCCACAGGAATGAACATTCACTTAAAGCCTGGACTTCAGTGCAGCTGCCTCTGACAATGGAAGTGCCTAAAGGGAATTAGCATTCCCTGAGAAACTAGTTAGAAATGCAGATTCTTAGGGCCCAGCAGTGTTTTTATAAGCTTTCAGGCTAATTCTGATGTGTGTTGCATTTCGAGATGGCCTCCTTGGAGAGCAGAATTCTTGCTTGGCCTAAATGGCTTTGCTCTTTTTTCATGTAAGAAGGTACAGAGTTTACCTGATGTTTTCAGTGCCTTTACTCATGTCAACTCCTGAGTCTAGAGTTCATTCTTTCCAGGTACCAGCAGTTCACCTTGTCTCATTCAGACAGCTTTTGAAATGCAGTTTTCTTCATGCTCTCCACAGGAGGTGAAAATGTCTCTTTTACTTGTTCTGTGTGTGTTTTTTTTTAATAACCTAAAATGAATGTCTGTTCTGTAAATACATATTGAAAGTTTAATTATATTTGTACTCTCACCTCCTAATATATTATAGACTCGAGCATTAGTTGTAGTTTTAGTTTTATGTGTTTGTTGGCTGTCTGATTTAGATAATTAAATCTTAGAGAATATGAGATTATGTATTTTTAACTTGTCACAAATGAATTAATGAATATTTGATTCCCTACCACATTCAGTCACATATTATCTCAACATATTTAACTCACTGTTGATGACACACATGTAGCTAATCAGTATTCATCAGAGCATAATAAGGAATGATAATGTTTCTAGTTGTGTTCAATGGGAATGAGTTTTAAATTCCTTTTTTATTCCAGATCCCTTTAAGATGCACCATGATGACAGCCTGGAAGATTTGCTCTTTCTCCCCAGTGGAACAACCAGTGCTTCAGCATCTGCAGAACAAAATGACCCCCTGAAAGACAGTTATGGTATGACTTCTCCAGCTGGATTTACTTCTTACCTCCATCAATTAATTTGGCTTTTCACCCATCACCTTTGAAGTGAATCACTAGGCAAAGTCATGTTTAGGGGCTCTGGCTCTGACAAGGCTCCTTCTAGATTAGTCACAGAGAATTCACAGTTGGGCTGCTCAGGTTCAGCTCACCTCCTCTCATGGGATCTTGAATCCTATATCCTAGGGCCAGGTTCTGTCTCCATATTTTTATTAGTTCATGGCCTTCCACAAGTTATGTCCTCCCTAAACTTTGGCTTCTTTATAAAATGGGGCCACCACTTGTTCTTACCTTAAAGATGTGGTGTTGATGAAATAAAATTTATGTAAAAGTACTTCGCATAGTTTCTGGTACATGGTAAACTAAACGTTAAACAGATCTTAGTTATCAATTAGTAGTTTCCTCATTCCTGGTTTTGTATAACTTAACGTGAATGTGGCCAAGGTACTGTAGGGCAGGCAAAACTTTACTTCTACCCATCTTTGGTGTTCAGTTGAGACTCTGTAGACAGGTTAATAAGAAAAAACAAATAGTTTATTAACGCATGCAACATACATCACATGAGAAGAAAGTAACTCAAAGGTGTAGCTTAGAAATTCAGTTTGGGACTTCCCTGGTGGCACAGTGGTTGAGAATCCGCCTGCCAATGCAGGGGACATGGGTTCAAGCCCTGGTCTGGGAAGATCCCACATGCCGCAGAGCAGCTAAGCCCTTGCACCACAATCACTGACCCTGCACTCTAGAGCCTGTGAGCCACAACTACTGAGCCCGCGTGCCACAACTACCAAAGCCCACATGCCTAGAGCTCATGCTTCGCAAGGAAAAGCCGGCGCACCTCAATGAAGAGTAGCCCCTGCTCGCTGCAAGTAGAGAAAGTCCGCATGCAGCAACAAAGACCCAACACAGTCAAAAATATATAAACAAAAAAACAAAATAAATAAATTTATTTAAAAAAAGAAAGAAATTCAGTTTGTGTAGCATCCTCAACGAAGAATATTAAATTTGTAGAGAAATGACAGGATAAAGGAAAGCAATTTTACACTTCCAAGAGTCATACTTCGGGAAGGTAAGTATATGAGAGGGAACTAATGGAGTCAGGTTTGTTTGCATATTCCTTTGGTGCCCTCTCTGGCCTGATAAGTGTCTCATGCCAGTGAAAGGAAAATTTATATCCTGCCTTTAGGCAGAAAGGGAGGAGCTTCTTCTCAATTTGTTGTTTGCTTAATTGCCTTCAGCTCAAAATTTTTATGTTAAAGGGGCATATTTTGGGGTAACATGTTCTGGTTTCCTTCAGTACCCATCATCAGTAAGTCCCACTTCAAATAATGCTTATAATTTTGTATTTGTAAAGATCCTGGCTAGTAGTTGTATGTTTCACTTATGCTTTTCTTTGGCCTGATGATCTCTTGCAAGAAGGATGTTAAATGAGTTGACTTTGATGCAATCCATCTAGTCTCCTGATTTGATTTTGGCTTTGACTCCTGTTTTGTCAGCTCACTACCTAGGCAGTCACTTAGTTGCATTGACTTCTTTCTTTATAGCATCTTTCTTCTCTTTCTTTGTGCTCCCTCTGCTTTACCCCAGTGCAAGCCCCTATCACTTCATACCTAGACCACCTCAGTAGTCGCCTGTCAGACTTCCTGCTCCCCTTTAAAATTAGTTCTGAATATACCTGATGATCTGACTCCCTGTTCTGTATTCATTGTCTCATTTTTATGATTAAGACCTTAAGACAGCTCCCCCACACACACTTTTTTTTCTCTAAATTCTCTGGTTTTCTGGATTCTTTCTTCTACTGTTTGTTCTAATCCCATTTTTCCCTCTCTGGTATACAAGATCTGTTTGAATCAGACTAATCTCATAGTCCCAAAAACATTCTTGTCCTGTTGGCATCCTCGTTCTTTTCTTTGCTCAGTGAGCTCCCCATCCTTGTAATTGACTACTCTCTTCTCTCTTCCTGCTCTTGCTTCTCTGAAGCCTTCTGTGACTGTGCTGGTCTCATGGTTCTTTAGAAATTCTTATAGCATTTAGTCCATACTACACAGTTTACCTTATTTGATATATGTCTGTCTTGCCTCTCTAGCTCAATTGTAGTAATCTTGATGGCAAGGACCAGGTGATACTAAATCCCATGTGATATTAGGTCTGGCAGAGGACAGCATAATAATAATGCTTTTACATCTGTCTAGTTCTTAATAATTTACAAAGCATTTTCACAAAAGTATCTTCTAAAGTTGGAAAGGGTTGTATGTTAATCTCACTGTACAGATGAGGAAATTGATTCACTGTCCCTTACTGTATGTTGCGTTCTATCGGTTGTGATGTAGGAGCAAGAGCTCGTCCTTTGCTATTTTTTATTTATTTATTTTTAATATCTTTATTGGAGTATAATTGCTTTACAATGGTGTGTTAGTTTCTGCTTTATAACAAAGTGAATCAGCTATACAAATACATATATCCCCATATCTCCTCCCTCTTGTGTCTCCCTCCCACCCTCCCTATTCTTTGGTGTTTTTGAATCTTTGTAAAACATTGTAGAAGGTGGCCAGTCAGTGTCAATCAGCAGCGCAACAGCCTAACAATTAGCCAAAACCTAGAGAATGTCAGCGGTTTTTACTTTAAAACTTGCTTGCTTTGTTTCTCGTTGGTCCTTTTGGCCTATGTCTTTATGGCAATATATAAAGCTGGTTTTAAATATCAAATGTCTTTTTTCCCCCAATGTTGACTGAGTCTGAAAAATGTATTTGTGTTTCAATATTAGGTGTGTTTCCCTGTGACACATTTGCTCCTGCAGCTGTTGTTCCTCAGGGGTGGCCTGTGGAAGCTCCAAACCCTCCACATTCAGAATCCTTCATTTCCCCTGAGGCCATTACACAGCCTCTGCAGCCTACAGCAGGTACATTATTAGGATCCCTGTTTATCACTTAATAGTTACAGCATCAATAATCAATATAAAGCAGCAGACATTTTTGAGCCTTGTGCAGCAAGCAGTATAGGTAGGTAAAATTTTCACAACTGTCACAGATGTTTTTAAACTTAAATTACTGATTTCAAAGCTGGAGGAATTAAGTTGTAGTTGAAATACAACACTTAGGGCCAATGGGCAAAGACAATCCCTCTGTAATTCAGGGCAGATTTAGAAATCTGGGGGGTTTTCTTGATGTCCCACAGGTTCCCTTTCTGACACTAATTGTGTACCTGTGTTGATTTTTTGGACCTGTGTTTTTTTCTCTCCTTTGCCTTTCCTCCTCCACTCTTTGTTCTGCCAGTATTCTATTCTTCTAAGTATTAGGACTGTCGAAGAGTAGGCACAAATGCATTAAGTGGACAGCTTTTTAGTTATGTTTAGGATATTATGGTCACAAAAGCCAGATACTCTCGTGCCCTAAGAAAGTAAGTTTTGAATGAAGAGCTATGAGCAGACAATGATGGATCCTAAATGTCCAATTTATTTCCCCTAGAGCCTGCTAAGGAGGTAGAAATGGCATCAGCAGAAGAGAGAGCACCAGCAAAAGCAATGGAAATGATGATGGGACTGAAGGCTGCTAACATGGCACCATCTCGAGAATCAGAGATGGTCCTGGCCAAGGATGTGGCGCCAGCCACAGAAACAGAGTTGGCATTGGCTAAAGACACGGAACCACCTACCGAACCAGATGTGGCCCTGGCCAAGGACATGGAATCATCCATCGAACCAGATATGGCGTTAGTCAAGGACGTGGTACTACCCCTAGAAACAGAGGCAACCCCAGTTAAGGACAATGTATTGCCCACAGAAACAGATGTGTCTTTGGCCAAGGACGTGGTACTGCCCACAGAAACAGAGGTAACCCCATCCAAGGACATACTACTATTCAAAGAAACAGAGAGGACACCACCTGTAAAAATGGATTTGGCCCCAACTGAGGGCATGGTACCACCTACAGACCGAGAGGTGGCCCCACCCAAGGGTGTAGCATCACTTTCAGAAATAGAGGTGCCACTGGATGAGGATGTTGTGTCATCCACAGAAATATCCTTAGCCAAGGAGGTAGCCCTGTCCTCAGAAACAGAGGAGGCCCTGACTGGGGATATGGTACTACCCCCAGAAACAGAGGTGGCCCTAGTCAAGAACATGGCTGCACCTCCAGAAACAGAAGTCACCCCAATCAAGGACATGGCTCCACCCCCAGAAGTAGAGATGGCCCTGAGCAAGGACGTGGCTCCACCTCAAGAAACAGAGGTGGCCCTGGGCAAGGACATGGTTTCATCTCCAGAAACAGAGGTGGCCCTGGGCAAGGACATGGTTTCATCTCCAGAAACAGAGATGGCCCTGGGCAAGAATGTGGCTCTACCCCTACAAACGGAGGTGACCCTGGCCAACAATGTGGCTCCAGCCAAGGATGTTGCAGCATCCTCAGAAGCAGAGGTGGCACCAGTTCCTGTTAAGGACATGGAAACTGCACGGACACAGGAAGAAACAAGTGAGGATTCCCAGTTAGAATCTCTCCAGGATGAAGGACAGTCAGCTGTACCTCCTCTCATGATTTCAGCAGGTATGGGCTTACGCTTACTTGCAGTATTTGTCTACAAGGGTGTAGTCTCCAGAAGGGTAAGTCATGCCGGGTAAAATAAAGAGTCACACTG